CATCTTTTCATCTGAGCATTTTTTTTCTGGAGTGAAGAGTCTGGAATGCAGTACATGTTGACATCAAATGACATGAGCCAGAAGCATCACAAATATATCCATCTCTATGCATTTTATGTGATGTTTATATGTAAGATGTTCTGGAGCAAATCTTGACTGAAAAGCAGGGTATGCTCAAGTACATAAGCAATCTTTGCTTTTATATAAATGGAAATTATACACATAGTAGATTAAGATTCTTCATTTATTTCATTCATTATCCCACCATTCTACCAAAAAATATTTTTAAGTTGCTCAAGGCAGTTTTCAGGCACAATTACATCATTGTACTATGGTGCATAGAGTGTTGAACCGGGATCCAGGAGATCTGGGTTGTAGAGCCCACTCAGCCATGCAAGTCACTGGGTGACTCTGAACAAGTCACCTTGACTCTAGCCTCATCCTTCTCATAGGGTTGTTTTTGTGAAGATAACATGATGTGGGGGTGGGGGGCACTGGATACCTCTGAAGAGGAAAAAAGGCAGGATATAAATGCAATGTAATAACAGGAATTAAAATAATTAAACATTACAAAGCAGACTTAATTACAGAAAAAATAAATAAAAACAGCACTCAACAGACCTACTTACAGACCAAAGGCCTTCTTGACCAAAATAGTCTACCTTCCAGTGGAAGGAGAGAGAGGAAGTGAGCCTTGAATAGCCACTACAAATGCACTCTCTTGAGTCACCAGGGAATACATCTCTAATGGATCAGATCTTGAAAGAAGGGGCTTGTCAGATAGAGGCTCACAATTTGCCATTCAGTTTTGGCACAGTCTACTGCAGCAGCTGTAGGTGAAGTCTCATTTGACCTCAGTCAGATGGCCAGACTGAGCACACCTTAGAACAGTACCTCCGTTGCTATACCAATTGCCAGCAAAACAGAACCTCTACCACATGCTGAGTTTGTGTACAATTCCCTCCTTGCTTCCTCCCAGAAAATCTCATTTTTGCCCATGATGTTTTGCCACAGTCCAGCAATCTTCTTTCCCAGCCGCTGACTAGCTACAAGAAGTTCAGGTAAGTGAGATCCTCTTGAAGAAACAACTGGAGCTTGCAAAACAGGCTTACAACCATTTTGCAGATGTGAGAGGCAAGCCAGACCCATCTTTAAAGTGGGTGACCACATTTAGCTCTCCATGCACCACCTCCCCATCAAACAACCCAGCTGGAAGCTGGATGTGCAATTCATTGGACCCTGCCCTATCACAGCAAAAACCAACCCAGTACCTTTTCATTTAGAGTTGCTTATCTCCAAGTTCATCTAGTGTTCCACTGCTCTTTTCTAGTTGCTGCAGAACTTACCCACCCAGACCGTGATTCTGCAGCTCCACCTCCTATAGGTGGCCTTAAAAGAAAATGTTAACTGGGCAGGCATGCAAAGGGGAAGGGAATATTTCAGGTAGCCTGGTCCCAAGCCCTATATTGTTTTATGTTATAGCCAGCACTCTGACTTCTACCCAGTAACAAACCAGTAACTAGAGAAACTGCTGTAACAAGGGTATCACATGCTACAGGCCTTGGTCGACAGTCTAGCTGCAGGATTCTAGTCCAGCTAAGAAGTTTCTGAATAATTTTTGAAGACAGCGTACATTACAATAGTTCAAACAGGATGCAACTAAATAATGTGCAACTGTAATCAAATAAAAATCTCTTGAAATAGATACTGTTGTTGCACTAGTGACACCATCGCAGACACACACCTGGTCACTACTGCAATCCAGCCATCTTGGCTCAAAGCTAAGTCCAAGAGTACACTCAAATTGCAAGCCTGAGTCTAGAGGGGAAACATAATTCCATTCAACACAGGCTGAATTTCTATTCCTTAACTTTGCCTTTCAATTGACCAAAACTATTTTCAACTTGATTGGATTAAACGTCAATTTATTTGCTTTCATCCAGCCCACTACTAACATTAAGCACCAATTTAGAACTGGAATAGTTTCTTTGGATATATATAAAAAGGACAAAGTTAACTGTCATCAGCAAGCTGATACTACCAAATCCCAAAACTCTGGACAGTCCCTTCTGGTAATATGCTAAATAGCATGAGGGATAACATAGGACCCTAAGAAACTGCACAGAACAAAATCCAAGACAGTAAATAAGTATCTCTAAGTACTACCTTCTGATATAATCCCTTCAAGAAAGCCTGGAGTCACTGAATAAGAATGTCTCCTAGTGCTTTCTCAGTCAGATGCCTTAGAACATGGGTCCTCAAACTACGGCCCGCGGGATGGATCCGGCCTGCCATGGCCATCCATCCGGTCCATGCCACCGTTCGCCGCCTGCGCGCACTTGCTGCGCGGGCAGGGAAGTGGTGGCTTGCTCGCTCAGAGATGGTCTCTGAGCAAGCAAGCCGCCTCTGCCTGCCTCCTGTACGCATGCACTCACTGCTGCCTCACAGAGTGGGGAGGCGGGGAGGTAGTGGCTTGCTCGATCAGAGATGGTCTCCAAGCAAGCAAGCCACCGCCGCATGTGCCCGATGCTGCCTTGTGCGTGCCCAAGGGCACCTCACCGGCCTGCACCCCCACCTCACTGGCCCACGCACGTAACCACCACCTTTCAACTGACCCCCTATCGAAAAAGTTTGAGGACCCCTGCCTTAGAAGAACACCATAGCTGTTGGTATTGACAGCTGTCAAAAGTTGTTGAACTAACAGAGATGCAATTCCCCTGTCCAGTTCCTGATATAAATCATCCCCAAGCCAACCAGCAAAATCTGCATCCCATAACCAGGTCTGAAGCAAGACTGAAATGACTCTAAATTATCTGCCTTATCTAGAAATCCCTGAAGTTGAGAAACCACCAGAGTACTATGTCCAAAAATATAATACAGGAGATGGGGTGGAAATTATTGAATACAGTGGGGCTTCAGGGAGGAGTTTTTCAAAACCAACTTCTTTAGTCAGGGTGGAATCAAACCCTGCTTTAAAAAATGGTGTAAAGAGGCCTTTGCATATGTTTCTTTGCATATTGTGGCAGTAAGAATCATACTAAAGGCTATGTTGCAAGCACCATTTAACCATTACAAAATTTACAATCATTTTAAAAAGCTTATTTTTTTTAAAGTCATGCTTTCTTCAAGATTGCTCAGTTACAAAGCAAAGGCACACACATCTTTTTCTCTAAGGAAGTGAGGACTCTGTCCTGCCTTAGCTCCCTTGCAAACTAATCAGTGGATATACTTCTACAAGCACACATATTTTGTTAGAAAGTTCTGTTTGCAACTCTAGTTTCATGAGCTGAAACTTTTACTCATACTTTCTAAAATAGTATTTTATTTTAATGAGCATCCTTTAAAATCTGAATATTATAAAACTTCATTCAGTGTACCATATAGCAAGGATTGAAACAGCTTTCTGCTTTTGTTGTCTACCTTCCTAATAGGTATCTTGTTAAGTAACATCAGAAATTCAGCCAAAGCATCTGAAGAGAATACCAAAGTACAACATGTGAAGAGAATTTCAGGGATTTCCTTCTCCAAACCCATTTTTGTATTCTCTTTACATTTAACTGTCTTACCAGAGTAATACTAAATATAAAAGCCAATTCAAAACACTGTCAACACTGCTTATTTTTCATCAGGTTACTATATAACACCAACTATCAAGATGGAGAAAAGTGGAAGTTATTTTGCATATCAATCCTTAAAATTCTTCATGAAGAGAAGCGAAAACCTCCTGCTATTTCTAAAAGCAGAAGGCTGGGTCACTTTGACTTGCCCTATTCAGCAATGCTTCATATCTGGGATCTATCAAAATATGGAATAACATAGTAGCAACTGAAAGACAACTTGAACATTCTAAACAGCACTGTGTTACTTACTCCTTAACTCAACTTCACTTGAACACTGATTCCTGAGTTTGAGACAGGGTGGATATGCCATCTTCCTCTGGCCTAAACCCCTTCCCCATAGCCACCGATTACTTGGTGATTTCCCAGCATTTATGTAGTTTTTCCCAGTTCTCAAAGACATTTACTAAGGATTATACTGGTAATAAAACTGGGGGCGGGGGGTTAGAGGGAGCTTCTGGGGGGGCATTATTGGCTCCAACCTTTTTTAGCTTTGGTCACTGGAATGCAACCTTAAAGAGTGAAAACTTCACCAAAACTGAATTCAACCTTCAAGCTGAACAGATTCTGTGCAGACTGTAAATGGATGTAAGCCACTGAATGCACATGTGGTGTCCACATGCTGGGAAGCTGTGACCCATCACAGCCAGAGCCCCTTGGCATGCAATGGTTTATGTCGAAGCAGCAGCACACTTTCCAATGAGGTGGGTAACCTGTTCTTCTGGCATAATTTACAACGAGAAAGAAGCACCCCTTCACAAATTACAGAAGACATACACTTTAAGGAGATACTAGTTTTCTACATAAGCCTGTGAAGACCTCTGCCATCCGCTGCCACATCTTCACCTTTTTGTATATACCTGAGAAGGCTTTTTCCCCAAGAGACATTTGTATTCACCCCATTCCGCCATCATCCCCCCCTCCCCCGCCGCCGCCCAGATTCAATTTAAAAGGTGAAGGAGCCCTGAGCACTGCCTGGGATGAGCCTTTTCTTCAGCAAAGGAGGCTTGAGAACTCTAGAAAATGGGCGTAGAAGGGAAAGCGTCAACACCAGTCAGGCATAGCTCATCCTTCTGTTGCAGATCCCGAAGAGGATGTTGGAAGTTGCCGAGGGCAACGTCTCCCCCAGTCAAGGAGATGAAGGAACCACGCTGACGTGTAAAAGCTGGAGAGAACCGGGATTTGTTTTGACCCCCCCCCCCACCTACTCCCGCCGCCCAAGCAACACGCCCGGTTCCCCGCGGAATCCCAGCGCTGCCCCCTGGGGGCTGCGAGACCAACAGCCCTCCCACTCGGTCGTCTTCTGGGCGACCGCCAAGGAATAAAGGCGGGAAAGCTTTCCTCCCGCCAGCTTTCCCCTCCCTCCAGGGCTTCCTCACTCACCTTTCTGAGCGGCCGCGTCCCGCCGGAGCAGCAGAAGCAGCAAGAGGGAGGCCACCGCCTGCCGGGTCCCCGTGGGGAGCGGTCGCTCCAGGCTGCTCACCATACCCCACGGCTCCTACGCACCAGCCGGCAATCCGGATGCATCCCGAGCTGGGCAACTTGACGACTTCTGTGGCGGCCGAAGGCGGGAGCCAAACGCGCCGCCTCCTCCTCGCCTGCGGATCGGGGGGGGGGGGGTCGCCGCCCCCTCCCCTTCCTTCGCTTCCCCACCCACCGACCCACTCCGCTTGCTCCCACCGCCCCCGATGGGCGCAACCACTTCCGGGTCCGGCGGTGGCGCCTGCCCCAGCCGCGGCTGCAGCTGCACCTTCCCCGCCTCCTTCGGCCCAGAGACCCCCGGCGCCTGGTGTGCGAATCTTTCCCGTTGGAGGAGCTGCCGCGGCTGGCGCCCTTCCACACCGAGCAGGGGCGGCCGAAGCGAGCCGAGGGTGCCAGGAAGGAGCAGCAGCAGCACCACCCACGCGACGAGGAGTTTGGTGTAGCACCTTCAAGGCTGACGGGTGCACCGTGGCAGCGACTTTCTATGGCTACCGAGCCCGCTTGTGAGGGGCGTGGAAATGGTACGAAGGGGAATTAGTTGTTCAGAAAGTATTAAAGTAGCGAGGATCGGGACTGAGAGAGGAGGCTGAGATTCTGTTCAGAAAACAGCATCAGAACGCTCGTTCGCCTGGAGGCTGGTGACACTCCCCACGTAACTTGTGGAGTAACTTATTTGCTACCAAGGCAAGAGACCTGGCACTTCGGGTCTTCCTTCTGAACCGCAGCGTAAATGTTCTTTCAGCAAAAAGAACAATAACAGCCCCGCCCTCGATCAGCAATCGATCCATCCTTTGTCGTTCCGTCATGAAAATGCCTGACTAAATTTACAGTTACTCTGAAATCACTAGCACCTTTTCCACATTAACAATCAAAGTCTGGAATTCACATGAAAAAGGATAGTACCCCCAAAAAATCGCAATTTTATACTTATGATCATGGGATCTGAATCGACAGTGGCTAACCAAAGAAATTTTAGATCAGTAGGATATAAGCAGTATTGTTTCCTATTCTTTTCTAACGGGCACCAATATAGAATGTGCTCTTTTCATGGCCGCTTTACATCAAAGATTTCATATTTGTATCAGGCAGCATATGGTTAGTGGTGGATACTTCAATCAAAATGAAGTTTGTAGCTGCTGTGAAAGGGTAGTGTTTTGGTTGGGTGTCATTAAGAAAAGGATTGAAAACAGTACTGTCAGTATCATGCTGCCCTTATAAAAATCTAAAATCTTGGTGTGACTACATCTGGAATCCTGCTTAAAGTTCTAGTCACTGCAGCTGAAAAAGGATATTGTAATTTTGGAAAAGATGCAGAAAAGGGCAACTGAAATTATTAGAGGATTGGAACTACTTCCATGTAAGGAAAGGTTTCAGTGTTTGGTACAGTGTTTTTCCAATGGTAGGATACATAAGACAGATAAAAGTGTTTCTTCACACAGTTCATAGATAAAATATGGAATTCAGCACCATGAGTTGTTAGTGATGATGATTTTAAAGAAGGAGTAGACATTCATGAAGGATAACACTGTCACTTGCTACTGAGCATAATAACTTTATGCTCCCTTCAGTATTACTGGCAGGATGACTCCTTATGCCAGTATCTGGGGAGCTGTATCAAGAGGGTGTTATTGCACCCATTTCCTGCATGCAAGTTTCTTGTAAGAATCTAGTTGTCCACCAAGGATCAAGCTAAATGCTCTTCAAATCAGAACTTGTGAGATTTAGTTGTTTATGTCAGTGTGCAGAAAAGTTTAGGTTGGGATTATTGCACTCAGGAAAGGAGTTACTGAAGGTTCCTTTCTTCCATGTTTGGCCTGAAAGTCCACCCTTGTGGGGGTATTATTTAACCCACACAACTTTGGAATCAGAGGCATTAATCAACAACAACCTTTGACTGAAGCAACTATAGTACACATGGATGTTATAAACTCATTTACACTCACTTTGTCATGGTGGTATTAGAGGTTTAAGGATCTTATACTTTTTCCATCAGCACATCTATCCCCAAGGCATAGCCAAATAGGTTACTTTTAAGCAGAACAGCACCCAGTAATTTCCTATGTATATGGAAACTCATTCATTGGCCATCTTCTCAACATAAAACTTTCTCATTAAATCTTATTATTGTTATCCAAAGAAAATAAATTGTCATGTTTGTTAACTCATTTCTTCAATTTTTTTTCTAAACCTGTAACATCTCTTGTTAGTTGCTGCTGTTTCTTTTATAATTTTATCTGGTTAACCTGGAAATTTTGTTAATAAAAACAGTTTTAAAAAGGAAGATGTAATAACTGTGGAACATACTGCACTTTCTCACCAGCACACTGTTGCAGCTTATTTGGAAAAAGTTATTTCCCTATAATGGAATCATCAGCTGGAAGAAAGGCTTTGGATTCCCACCTCTTCACTGTAGAACACTAACTTGGAGAATAATATTTGGATTCCCCACAACAACTGAATAACTGAACACATTCCTTCTGCAAATAAAACCATTATCTGGAAACTCTCTGGCAGCATTATTGTACAATGAGTTTTCCTGGTTACCAGGAAGATTCACAATGAACCAAGGGGCCATACTCATTTTGTGGTGTTTTCTCCTCTCTAAGACTGTCCAGGATAAGAGTTCTTCACATATATTGTAACATCAATTTACATATAACTCTCCATTTGGTCTGAAGCAAAGCAAGATTTTAAAGCAGAATCCTTAATATAAGAAAGCACAAAAGCATAAAGATTAAAATGCAGTGTATTTATTCTGAGCAGAATTCAACGTGACTTTATGGAACTTCCATATACAGGAATCTCTTATCTAAACCTTCAAATCAACGTGAGATAACCATAACTGTCTCTTTGGTCTGTTTTTATATGAATTTTTTTTTGAATCTTTGTGTGACTGGCACACTACTGAAACATTTTATGAACAACTCTTTTCCTTCCTATCTACATTTACTTGTCTAAAGGCATTAGCATCTCTTTATCCCCATTTGGCACTTCATTTGGCTGGACTAACAATTTTTAATGCAATTGCTTCTCACAAATTATGTTTTCTTGGAGTAGTGGTTAAGTATCCTCATTTTTCAGTTGTGAACTATGTCTAATAGTCACAAGTTCTTGTTCTCTGTGCAATTGTTACATATGATGCAGCCTTGAAAAAATGGAATTGGTACAGTGTAGTTGTTACAAGCGTAGTATCTGGAATTAGTTGTCCTCACTTCAGATTTCAGCTCAGCTATTACCTTGCTGCCAAGTTCAGTCCCACATCTGTCATTTGAAGATAAAAAGACTGATGGTCTACCTTACATGGTGCCATTACACATTAAAACTATTTTTAGAGGAATTCAGTACAACATTGCATCTATCTGATGAACTGGACTGCAATCAGCAAATTTATTATGTCATAAGATTTTGTTCAGTTTTTAAGATGCTAAAAGACTGGGGGGTTTTCTTGAAAACAATCTCACCCAGCGTATCCTGTTTGTGTAAGAACATTTCCATTTTTTATTTCTGCCTTTCAAGCTGTGAGATGGTTCTTTCCATAAATCATAGATTAGGAGCAGCAGTCTAGCAGGGTAATTTTAGATCCTGCATGTATGTGGTGGTGGAGATGGGAGTGACTGGGCTTTAGATAGTGATACATATAATTTAAGATGCAAAGCTGACAACTAACATTTCCTTTCTCTTCCCGCCATTCCACACTTCGCATGCCTGATACGTTAATGCAAAACCCAAAACCCTGTCTGTCATCTCTGATAGAAAATACTGAGAATTTGCATTTTAAACTCATTTAAAGCATTTCTATGAATGTTTTATTGCTTCTGTCTATAAAAGAGTTTGCTTCTGCTGCCCTGATCCTAACTATATTTCCTTAGGAATAAGCACCCTTTAAAAATAAAAAATAAAAATCATAAAAGGAGCATTTGTTCCTTAACTCTAAGGGGCTTAACGATAAGAAGGGATGCTGTGTTGTGCATCATCAACCCAGGTGGGCCCTAGAAAGCCTGTGCTGGGCCAGGTACTGACATTACTCATGTTCGCCACTGCCCCCATTACCAACTACTCAGGATGTTCATTTAGGAGGCTAAACAGATTTGTAACATATAAGACAATATATATAAAAAATAAAAGTGGTTAACAAATAACTACTTTACAAACTGTTCTTCGTAGAGTATGACAAGTGGCCTTCCTTGAAGCAGCTCTTGAATTGTTCCTCATTGTGGTGTATGAGACTAGATAATCACTGTCCCTTCTGCTGTATTGCTCCTACATTTCATTTTGTTTCAAAAACTAATAGCATAATCTAATGGACATGCCTGTGAGCTTCTAAACCATGGGTCTTCAAAACTATGACCCATCATTTACCTGGCCTGCCTCAGAGCTTTTGGACTCATTTGGAGAAAACAATCTCTGAGCAAGTCCAAAAGCTCTGAGCCAGCGTGTGCGTTCGCTGAAACTCTTTCAGTTTCAGAGACTAGCAGAGAGCTGGCACATGCGCCAAATTGTAACAGCTCCCTTCAACTGCGCGTGCGCCGGTTTTTCCCCCCTATTGCACACATGCATTGGCTCTGAATACAGAGCGGAAATACAGAAGAGAAGAGGGTGGAAGAGAGAGAGACGAAGACACCAAAAAAGGATAGAAGGTAAGAAAAACATAACTTTTTAAATCTATTTTTAACTATGTGAGCCATGTCCCTGGGCTGTGGGCCAAGCCACGGCTGCCTCACTGAGCCCTGGGGAGGACAGGCTGAGGCGGAGCAGGGCCATGGCTTCTGCTCCTCCACCACTGCCTTCTCTGGGCAAGCTGCCACCGTTGAGCGGCTGCCATGCTTCTTGGTGGGGAGAGGTGGGAGGCGCCCCACTTGGCCAGCCACAACTCTGTCCCTCGCCTCCCCTCACCTTGGAAAGCAGCCATTCCCTCCCTCCTCACTGCCCTCTCCCAGCCAGGGGAGCCGCCCCACACTCACCTCTCTGGCCTCCCGCTCCCCCTCCTGGAGCCAGGTGAGCACCTGCAAGGGGACTTTCCTCCAGCTCGGGAGTGGGGCGGCGGTGA